TATGTTTAAGCAAATGTGTGCCATAGAGTTGGATCACAGTTTTGATGTATTTTGGGGATTTCAAATTAGACACTAGGAAATGGGCTTTCCCAAATGTTTTTCCTTTGATTTTTTAAGGGAGTCATATTAGGGTGAGAAATGGGAAGAAAGACATCAAAATCAGATCTCATACACCTTGAGGCTTCTGTTCTGTCTTCTCCGCTCTAGGCACAGGGTATGTTTACGTGCACACTGCCTTTTTCCTCTCTGTTACTGGTTTCTGTCTTCCAGTATCTCAGTGTTTCTGTAGTCTCCTCGTCACTAGTTTTCCCCCATGCCTGAGCTACTCTGGCTCTAAAATTTTTTATCTCTCTTGTCTATGCCTGTCCAAAACTAAATCTGTCCTAATATTTTAAGAGAAATTCCACTCTACTTCCATACTCCAAATTTCCCTTTTACTCCATGCCCCAGAAGTCCCACTGTACAGCAAACTCTTTTCTCCAAACACATTACCATCACCAACATCTATAGTAGCTAGGATAGTTTAGTACTTCCCACTGGAAAAGGCAATGAAAAAAGAATGAAAGATCACAGCTCCCAGCTGCTTTTTTTTTTTTTTTTTTTTTAAACAGGAAGGTTTGCTTTAGGTTAAGCTTGGTGATGAGGTCATTTTGTTGTCCCTTTTGTCTCTGGTGTGGACCACAGGCTATCAGCTGAAGAGTCTTACTCTAGAGAGTAACCAATATTTGACTTGAAGAGCAAATAACAGTCTTTAGCTCCAGGATGAATTGAATAATTGCTTATCTCTTTGTAAAAATGTGACTCTCTAAGCAGTTGAGGTCAGGAAAAGTTAGGTAGTAACCACATCACTGGTTACAGCCCCTTAAAATTTTTAGCATGAAACAAACATTTCTTTTTCAGTTGTGAGGAAAGCTAAAATTGTGAAGTAGCTGAATCTTATCTTATTTCAAGTTAAAACATGAAAATAATGGTTTGCATTAGAAGATGGAGCAGTGATTCTAGTGCTTACCCTGAGTTCCGTTGTAAGAATTATACAGCCGCCACCTACACCATTGTAGGAATTATGCAGATGCCACCTCAACAGGGCTTGTCCCTATGTTCTGCTTTAATAAAAGAGTCAGAGTTCCTTCTTCTACTATACATAATATGCAATAGTAGTTACAGCTCAAGCTGGGTGCCTCCGAAGAGGGACCTCGCCTGTCACTTGTTACTGGGTCTTACAGTATCTGTAGGTCACTTGATTTCCTGATGGCACTTCTGCTGATCCAATCCTTTTCCCAGCATCTAGGATCTTCTCTTCTGATTTGCTCCCGCAGCCTCCAGGCACCCTTTTTGTCTGTGTCTTGAGAAATTTCCTTATCTTTTGTTACAGAATATCCTGTAAAGTTTTACTTATACTTCCTTATGTACCAGTTACATTTTCATAGATAAAAACAAAGGTTAAAGTACAATTCATGTGGCCTAAGGCTTAATTTAGTCACTAGTGCTAAGCTCTGGCACAAATTAGTCTCTTACTGCAGTCCTTGTGAATCCGAGGGCAGATTTCTGGGTTGCTGTGCACAGTACTTGAGAGCCTTGCTCTAGCATTCCAGGACTGTTTACACTGTAGTTGTGCTGCTTTCCCTCAGCCCACTCGCCTCTAAAAATATGGAGGATTGCTGGTATTGGATCAGCAACTGGCTCTATGTCAGCCAGGAATTTCCTTGTGCTGATGAAAACGCCTTCAGGCCATGGGGTTTTTAACATTAGAGATATGTTCAAAATAAGCAAAACTCTGAGATGTTGCCTACAATGTAACGATCCCAGTTGTGTTTGGTGAGCAACACCAGGCTGTGTTCTTCCATCAATCTGTCTTAATTTTTTATGTTGCTATGGCTGAAGTTTGAGTGTCTCGTTGGATATTTCTGTTGCAGGCGCAGCCACTGTCTAGAAGCAAAATTCTGGAAGGAAGTTAAGGCAAAAATGTACAAATGAACTCACTTTTTCTTGGCCAAAATTTGGTTGCATACACTTTGGTGTATCGTGGCAGTACATGAAAGTACATCAGAAGCAGCTTTAATTTTTCTAGTGTCAGACTCTATAGTCCTGAAAATGTGTTGTGCTGGGCTCTATCTAAAGACCTGAATAACACAAGGCTCAGTCAACCTTATGCTACCCGTGTGAAAGCTTATGCTCCTGCATTTTCACCGCTATTGATAACTGATAGCTAGATTCGAGTTAGTTCTGATTTGTCTACGCACACTCCGTATACACTTCCTGATTACGGTGGAGTCCTTAGTATAGGACTGACATTCAACCTTGGTTACCAAAATGATGTTAGGAGCTGAAGCTTCCTAATGCACCTGGACAGTTACTGAACTCTCTGGAAGTACTTTCTGCTCCTGCAAAATCCCCACACGTAGGTTTCAGCTAAGTATAGATTTGCCAGCAGAAGTGAAGGTTATGATAGCCCTGCATTTCTACTACTTAGTGCAACATGTGTGCACACTGGACCACATGAATGTGACATGACACTCTCTCAACCTTCCCTACTCCCATCCAGATCACGGCTGCATCTGGCTTAAGTTACACT